TTTAATTGCTGTTGTAGTTATGAACTGATGCTGTTATGTTGGCTCGAGTGTCCTAATGATAGACCATTGTTCAGTGAATTGAATACATCAATTAATGCACTCATTGATCCACTGGCTCAATATCTCAGTCTACAATTATAAACTTTTGTGAGGAAGAATCAACAAAAATAATTCTTTAATGAACTTAGCTAGTAATTTCTTGACAGTTGTAGTGTGACATGAATTTACATAATTTGTGTAACTCCTATAGGCCTTACTTTTCTTTATTGTAATGCATTATATTGTTGTCTTATGAGAGGCCTTGCAGTTATATAAGGCTAACCTCACTTTACTAAGTTGATCTTCATATATAGATCTATATTGTTTTTATTATTAAACTATGATCTTTTTTTAGTAGTCTAAAGTGTGTAATCTTTTGAAAGAGATTTGTTGTGTGAGACTAGTCTAGATCTGTTACATCAACATAAACAAATCTTGGAATTGCTAAATCTACATCTAATACAAAATAGCCTAATAAAAAGGTGTGAATGTAAAATATAAATACTAAACTGGTATAAAACATTAATTTTTAGAAGCTGTTTGAGATACAATTTATTAATTCAAACATGATAAGTAATAGTTAAGCACAATAATGAAAGTGTGAATTAAATTAATCATTCATTGTCATTTCCTCAACAGCCACAACTATTATAACTATCGGAAGCATGATTAACTTGATTGATTTCTTCTGATACTTTTCAGCCTAAAAGGGAAGAAAAGCAGGAGAGAGAGGAGCAAAAGAGAGTGTAGGAAAAAGTGACATATTAAAGGAAATCCTTGTTTTATTTTGAGAGGCAAAACTTTTTCAGATCGATAAAGTTAATTTTTCAAGACAACTTTCATGGATTTTTATTTTTAATGGCAAACAAATATTTTGCCATAGATTTAATGGTTGTATTCCAACACAAAAGTTTTTCTCCAAACATAAGCACTATATTCAAAAATATTGAGCTTTTAGGTATTACTTTTTCCAGTTGTTTGACACCATCAGTGACTTAGTGTTCTCTCAACATTGTAGTAAATGCTATTCAATAATGTACACTGTAATAAAATAATAGTAAAAATACATGAAGATGTTACACACTAATTTGCAAGAGGTACAACTATTAATTGGAACCTGATGGCAAAGCCCAAGTGGTTCAAATACATGTGTAGGTGCAATTCTGACATAGAGGCACATGTACATGTTAACACATAACTGTTATAAGCAAGCAATGATTGTGCATACATGTACATGTACTATAACTAGAACAAAAAAAATTTTTTAATTATTTAGTGTAGGGTTGAGCCTTTGTTCAGGGGCGTCGCTGGGCTTGAAAGATTGGTAGGGCACTATAGGTCCATGAAAGAGGTGTAACTTTTTCGCACGCGAAAAATTTTGCAGTATCTCATTAATATTCATGATGGGTGTGGTCAATTTTGGTCAATTAATTGATTGATTAATTAATTAATAATGATCTTTTGACGCCCAAAAATCATAATGGCGTTCATTTCCAGCAATAAATTGCTTAACTACCGACTGTATTTCTACATTATGAGTCAGTTGTTGGTGTGTGTGAAGAAGTAAGCAGTGATTGAGTTAGTCTCGCCCCGCCCCTTCGCTACCTCAGGTAGCGAAGGGGCGGGGCGAGACTATGATTGAGTCTTTCCTGGATAGTTATTAGATTAATTAACTTGAATTAATAACTAATTTTAATAAAAATGGCTACTGATCTTCAAAATATTGGTGGGGCAACTGCCCTACCTGCCCCTTAGGCAGCGACGCCTCTGTTGTTGGATTTGAACCTATGAAATGAATTCATACAAGACCCTGTAGGGTTGCTGGTTTAAAAGTATAAAATGATTTCAAACAAGCCCCTGTAGGGTTGCATCAGCATTTAAACACCAACATGTCAACCCTACACTGCAGGTATGAAATGGCCTTTGCAGCACTGATGAGTATTGCTATCAATGTTAGTGTGGCAATTACAGTCGGGCAGCCAAGCCTGATTTCTTATTTCTAACCGGAAGTGACGTTTTTCTCAAAATGGCTGACTTTTAGTGTGGTAGTGTCACTTGCCTATTTTGATTGTTTATGTCAAAACTAAGAAGTCTACAGTTACTTTGCTGTTCTCTGCACCTTTAGCATTGGATAAAGATGTAGCTAACTGATCTTCTACATTTATAATCAAGAACTGTTCGTGTTTCAGGTGCTTGTTTCCACTGTAAGGATTTAAAATGGCTGACACAAAAATCATACTAAATTCTATAACTTGTAAAATAGAGTGAATGCAATCACACTTACAAGGTAGCTTATTAGTATTATATATGCCTGTTAGTCTGCAAAAGTTTCATTGCTCTAGGAGAAAAGGGAAAATTTTTCTAAGGTATTAAAGGTCCCAGCAAGTAGCCTAGCTATGTGTTTGTGTGTGTTTAGCATTGTTGTATCCATGAGTATAGCTTGTAATTCTTGATATATATGTAAATTGTAGCTATTGCAGTGGTTTTCAACTTTCTTTATATCTATATTTGGAAGATATCTTGAGATTTCATGAGAGCCGCAATTTTCGTTCATATTTGTACTCACATGAACTGTGTTAAGTATCTGGCTGCCTATTTTGGCATTATAGATGAAGGTTATTGTGAGGATATAGACTTTGATCCCAATTATTTTCTTCCTGGATAAAGATATCATGATATATTACAATTTTTGTAATAAATTTTAATTAATTTAATTATACTTAACAATAAAAAAATTGTAACTTCAGTATTCTTTGGAGTGCAATCATGAAATTTTGGTATGTGGTACTTAAAAGGTATCTTTACATGGTAATTGTTGTCTTACAAGTATTCCTTGTGAGGGAAAATTTTTCTAAGGAATAGAATTATTGTGTTCAAAATTAGCTGTAAGTTCCCCATAAAACAGCATAGCTTTGCTGTTTTCATAAATGATGTGCTCTATTGATCAAGCACTTTATCTCTCATTGTGGCAAGTCCATTGCTGTGATAGTTCTCTGATTCTGTCCAAGTTTTCATGTATCTATGTACGCTACCACCCACGCAGTTGCTCAATGAACGAGAAATAGGTTTATACACAATTTATATGGACTTCCGGTTGCTTGGCTGCCCGACTGATTAAATGACTGAATGAGCATTATGGTAAATGTTGTGCATTCCTTTAACTAAGTTATGATATCATTGGGCAATTATACCTGCAGTGTAGGATTGACATGTTGGTGTTTAAATGCTGATACAACCCTACAGGGGCTTGTTTGAAATCATTTTATACTTTTAAACCAGCAACCCTACAGGGTCTTGTTTGAATTCATTTCATAGGTTCAAATCCAACAGAGGCTCAACCCTACACTAAATAATTTTTTGTTCTAGTTTCCATCCTTTTTTTGAAGAACTTAAGGAGTTGTTCCAGAAAATAAATAATAATTATTAAATAAAATAAATATTATTTCTTAAAAAACAAAAATTATTATAGTTAGCACTGAAAAATATATTTTGACGAGAGGAGTTTTGAAACGTATTCATTACAGGAAACCTAAAAGAAGACAAACAAGAAAAGTCATGTTAAGAAAGCATCAAAATGTGACAGTATTGGAATGAAGGAAATTGATGGAAGTTGCATTCCATGCCATGATTCCAGGCTACGTTACGTTAAGGAACAAAATAATGTTGAATAAGGAAAATTTGTGTTATACGTGTATGAGTCCTTGAAACTAAATTATGGAAAATTAAAATTAATAAAGTGGCATTATTTGTAAACTAAAGTGTTTGTAAACTAAAGTGTCATGCATAATGTACAGAAAATAATAAAAGAGTGAAATTTTGAAGTATTATAGATGTACTTACACATATTGATGGAGCTCCAGTGTGAGATAGAGAGGGAGACACATGGGGGACGGAGGGAGGAACTAAGGGAGGGAGAGAGAGTATGAATCTGACAATGTATACATGTACACAACATCAGCAGCTAAAGCAGCAAGTGTAGTTTCCAATATAGAAAAACCAAGGTTGTACCATGATTGTTGCAACCTTGTAACAAGTTAGTTGCCACTAAGTTGCCACTACCCGGTCACAACCTTGTAAAAACCTTGGATTTGACAGGTTTTATTGGCTTGTGACAACCTTGTCACAAACTTCTCACATGTACAATAAATTTAATAGAATAACTATAATCTGAAAGACTATCAACACATTATTATTATTGACATCCTAATCCCATATACCGTATAGCGGAAAATTTTCGTGGCCCAAAAATTTCGCGGATCCGTTCAAAAATCAATTTTGTGGCTTTAATTTTTGTGGTTTTCTACTTTTCGGCCATCTTGAACCATATTAAATCAATTTTTGCAAATTTTATTTTCGTGGATTTTGAAGAAAACACGAAATCCATGAATATTTTGGGCCATGAAAATTTTTCGCTATACGGTAGTTTCAAATGATTTCTAGATACTTGTAATGTATCTATGATACATGTAGCTAATGTATAAACATGTGGATGTGTATTATTGTTATCTTTATTGATTTGTATAAGTGTTGGTCAATGGTCGCTTTATATATCATAGCAATAGCTTCATATCATCGTGGGGCACACTTAAAAAACCTCAGTTTCCTGTCAACCTTCGCACAACCTTGTCACAAGGTTGTTATGTTACTTACATGTTAGTCACAACTTAAACACTTTTATACAAGCTAGGTTGTTAGCTATTACTAGGTTGCTAGAACTATGCGAGGTTGTGATCTGGTTGTAACAACCTTGGAATTTCTACATGTATGTGGGTTGTTTGTGTGTTTACTTAAACTGAGTGAAGAAATATTGACTCTTGAAATACACATACATGTACATGTACAAAAATATAAACAGGACACTGAGCAATAATAGTCTACAAGTCATGTACATGTAGATACAACATGAAAACTGCATCTTTACATCTTTACATAACCAGTTGGCAGCATGTACAGTACATGTACCTGTATTAAAGAACTTATCATATAGCGGGAAATTTTGGAGGAACTTAAATTTGGCAAATTGCTAAATTCGGGCGATTGGTGGATTTTAATTTGGCAAATCTGTGGCCATATGCCATTGAGCATGCGCATAATGGCTCAAAATGGTGGATTATATTTTGACAAATGGCTATCAAAATGCCAAATTCAAAAAAATTAATTTCCCACTATACAGTATGTTCTGAAAAATTAATACTACTGTGATTAAAAATTGTTTGTACTTATGTAACTATATCTACTTTAAAAGGTACACCTTACCATACTTAAACTTATACTTAAGAACAACTAAAAACAATATAAAACATTAAAGGGCTCAGCCTTGTAGATTATTAGCTGGAAAAAAGCAGAATCTCTACCTTATGTTGCAGCTAGAAAACTCCTGACTTGTTTCTTACTTTAAGCCTTGCTACACTGACTTTATAATAGCCATAAGCTATAAAAAGGCTGACCAGTTTCGTGCAGTCAGTGACAAAGGTGACATTTGTTTGATTTTCACATTTTATCTCAACAAAAAAGGAGTTTCATAGTTACTTAATTGCACCTGTAACCTTTTCAAGCAGTTGGAGAAGTATTTGGACGGTATTTTGCCTTATCTTATTGCTAGGAAGTAGGAAGATCATGACTTCTGATTCCCGTGTGCTGATCGCCATTTTATTTTCTTTCGGCCACTCCCACTTTCAATGAAATATTGAAACTATTGCACTGCTAGGCATGTGCAGATATATAAAAGAGATACAAAATACGTACGTGTACATACAAACAAACTCTACTCATCTTAGTGGGCTTCGCCCAATTAAAAGCAATGTGTACTTGTACTTAATACTACTTATACACATATTTTGTAAATGTACTTAGGCTTTACTTGAGTACTTAGATTTAGGGTTTTTTATTAAACAAACACCAAACAATGAAGGATACAATGTAGAAAAAATAAGCAAGCAAAGCAGGTTACTGTACACATACCTGTAGTATAGTGTAGAAACAGTCACAGGTTGTATCCATTACTTGCTGCTGGACACTGAGAGGTACAATCTCATTTTAGTGACTATTTGCTGGAAATAAGCTTGTATCTCCTTCCAATTTAATATCCGCCATTTTATTTCACTGTGGCAATACCTGCTAATTAATAAGCGTTGTAAATAACGAATATTTTTGCCCTAATAAAAAATCCTTCGCTAAGGCCACTCCAATCATAGTATCCCATTACAGAGGTGGGGAGCAGGTTTAGTCATTCCCATTATTAATTATCACTTGTATAAGCTATGTGTATAATTATATATTTGTAGCTGCCAATATTCACAATTTTTTTAACCATGACCGGCAATTATCATGCATGTAGAATTGTAGATACCAGATGTAATACGATATTAAAGCAAAGCATCCTGATGCAGTGTTCTTGAGTTGTTCTTCTTGCTGTTACTAGCTAGCCCTTGGTCTTTTTGAAGCTGCTTTAACCAGTTCTTTTCAAAACTACCCTACTTGCTGTATCTTGGAACTCTCTACCCACTCCAGTTAGTGTTATTTATTGGCTTGGGTGTGGTTTGCTACCGACCAGTCACCAGTAACAATTTGCAGCAAGGGGCTTGGAGGTAGAGGTTCATACAAGAAGCTAACAGAAACAGAACAAGTCGCTATTGGTGAATAGCTCCACTAAAGCTGCTAAAGAACAGAAAATTAGGCTCATACCGGTCTTGTTATCATAGCAACATTCTATCGGTTTCCATGGTACTTCATTACACTTTTATTTTTGCGAATACTAGCAGCCGTAAATATTACTTATGGTAATCAAAATAGTGATGGGGACCACGTGGGCATAAAATGGGAAAGCAGTATATGAATCTAGTTGCATGGAGTGGCCTAAATATAATACATGTAGTAAGGCATGCATGGTATAAAACTGACAATTTACTCTATTATATTTACCTTACTTGAAGAGATGGAAGTAAACCGAAGTATATGAATTATGTATCAGACACAAAACTAAGCAATAAAACCATTGAAATTTATTTACAATAAGTTCTCTCACTGGAAGTGATTGGTGTCACGTCAGTAGATAGCCAGGTGTTTAGGCAAACACATCATCTCAATGTCATCACAGATGAGCCGGTAATTGTAAAAGGCTTTGAGGTGAAAGAGCTTCTTCCAATCTCGCTCCATTAAAATAATACTGAGCATGCGCAGTTGGCTGCATCAAAATGGCGTCCAACCACTTGGTGAGTCCATGTGTGCTTGAAAACAACGCGAGAAATCATTTTCTAGAATTACAATGCAAAGCCACGCTGCACTAGCGTCCCTTAAATGCAGCACAATGGTACAAAAATCATATTTTTAGGATAAAAACTGTAGGACTAGTTCTTACTAAACTGTGGAAGAAAGAGAAACCCGAACATTTGGTGCATGCAGGCATGCATGCATTCATTTACCGTAAAACTATCTTATGGAAGTTTTTACTACTTTTTATAACACTGAAATGTTTTGATAAAATTATAAAGGACATCTGGACTATCAGATAAGCCACAAGGAATTTCTAAAGATATTAAACAGGCTCAATGCTTCTGGGATGGCAGCCATTTTGGGGGCGCGCTCGTCCAACTCAACCTTACATACCAAGCGCTGCTAGCGCTTGGTAATAGCTAGAGAATCTGGTGGAGTAAAACTTAAGCAAATTTGGTGAATTGAGGTATGTATGTTTTGTCAAAATTTTTGATATGGCTTGTAGCAGCATGCACTGGTTAAATTTTGCTAAATTGTAACTCCAAACCTCTTTTATAGAGTAGACAAATGGGAAATTTTAGCATTCCATTAACCAAAACGAACAAATGTTTGAATGCTTATACAGCTTACACCTTAATTGGCATTAGATCATTACCAATCAATTACATTGTTCTTTAGGTCACTCTAATGACTGAAATCAGTGCAGGACCCTACATGTATACAGTGTATAGCTCAATACCTAATGATTATACATCAGATCTTATTATTAATAAGTTATATGCTTGATTAGCACAGAGCCTGAGATAACAGTCAGACATCAGATATTTTCAGACCAATTTGCTTGACAAAATTTAGTTCCTAACAGCAAGAGAACATAGAAGACTTATTTATCAGCATTAGAAGGCAGAAAGAGCCTCTATAAGTCTTCATAAAAACCCAGCTGTACATGCAAGGTGGTGAAATCAATTGTAGGAATTTTTACACTGTTATGCTTGTTTTTTAGTAACTAGACTATAATAATACACTTTTGTGCTATAGCAAACTAAACTTCTTGCTAGAGATCCTTCACTTAAGTCACAAAGTCACAATCCTTTTAAGGAAAAACCACCAAAGTATGTCAATTGAAGAGAGAGGGAGAAGGATTGGATGAGAGTTTCATTAAAAGTTGATTAATGTGATTATTGTAATGTCTTCCTCCAGTTTTAGACTTTTTGCTCATTGCATCATCACAACTGAAATGAATCAAAAATAGATCAGTAGTGGAAGAGAAAGAAGTAAGTTTTTAATTATCATCAATAACTATTGATTCATTATAATTATAATTATAGGACTTAAAGCCGGGCAACCTGCAAGGTCAATTGGAACTGAGTTGTAAAAGGACAGTGTATTTTCACTTTATTATTTCACATTAAATTTCAGTTTACAAAGTTATGGGTAACGTTTTTGCTCCTTTATAGCCTGATGCTTTTACTGCTTGTAATTAAGGGTGAGAGTTAGTTTAAGACTCATTTCTTTCTTTAAAATGCTAAGACCAGTTCTCCCCTATGTATTGTTCTACTCCAATGCTTTAACATATCTTCAGGTAATCATTAGTACAATATCTTCATTGCAGCAACAAATAGATCCATTGATTATGGTTTCATTTAATTCTGATTTGATTAATCATATAATTAAGTAAAATATAAGCCAAAACCAATTTTACTTTACTGTTAAAAATTTGTTTATTTGTTGCAAACTGTTGTATAGTAAGAAATCCTACACCACTGCATGAAGAATTAATTTTAATCCAAAGCATAGTTGTATCCCAGGCCACACAGACTACTGCAAGAGAGCTTTTACCCTCTTGTTTTTTTTACTTTTTTATCAATTTAATCCTACTACTTTTCCATTTTTAATTTTTTTATTTAGAGTCTAATCTAACTTGTAGATAATTACTTTTTATGGACTAGCTCCAGCTACGTGGGTGTGGTAGAACTATAATTATTATACATAGATCTATATCAAGAGTTGGCATTGTATCATAACTGACAGAAAAAAGACGTAGCTGGCTGTTGTATAGCCCAAGCCTACTATATCTCTGTAATAAAGTTTCTTCCTGATAAAAGGATGTTTGGTGTACCGTGGCACCTCTTGTTCTTAATCATGGTGCAGGTCTCTATTGGATCTGGTAAGAAACATGTATGATCATTATTACTTATAGGCTATTGCTTCTTAATTCAAACAAAAACCACTGTATTTTAACTACCATTTGATAATATCCCCTTGATTTATTAAAAGGGTAACCAGCATCAGTGAATAATTCAGTGCATGCGCAGGCTTTTCAATTTTATAGACTGTACTGTATAGCCGGATAATTTTGGCGATCTAAAACTTTGGCAGCTTTGCATCAAAATAGCCTAAATATAATATTAGCGGTTTACTATCTTGTTTTTTCTTTAATTACTCTCAGCTCTTGAAGCTGCTCCTCAGCAGTCCTTGCCCACAGTCTTGAACTGAAATAGTGAGCATTTTGGCACTTTTTTAGTATCACATGCTCATGATGGGAATCCACCAATTATTATTGATGGTTTATAATATTGGTGGTTTTATTCTGAACTGCCAATCTGTCAAATTTTTCAGCTATAGATCCACGGTTTATAAGATAAGCTCTCAATTTATTACATCTGTTATGGTGTCTTAATCTTGTCATGTGAAAGTTAACTGGTTGCATAACTGTGATGGTTGCCACCCATGCAATAAGAGTTTTTGTTGTAAACAAAGCTGTAGGTATTAATGTAATTTTACTACTTAAAAACTAACCATGCAGTTGCCAATAAAGCTTTGTGTAAACGATGAGAGAGGGCTTTAGTAGCAGGATGGACTTATTACAAGTGCTATCAGTGCTATTACATGGTGTGGGCCTATTAAGTGTATTGCTCTTTAATGGGGCTTTTTAAGTTGTATTAAACGGAAGTTTAGTCAATGACTTTGACGATGTTCTATTTTTTGTATAAATTACCTTTTACTAAATCAGCATACCCTTCGTAATGCTAAAATTTAAAAGCACAATTAATACTCACCCAAAGGTAATAGTTTCTATCATGTAGATGGTCAAAAGTGTGTGCATATACTTGTTTAAGTGTAATAAGCCCATAAAGTCTTACCAAATAATGCCAAATAGCTGCAGTATGACGGGGAATGAGTGAAGTAGGCTAATATACACTTTGTTGCAATTTTATCCATAATAAATTTCAAATTATAATAGCGAAAAACAAGTATTCAAGTGCTTTAATTGTTCCCAATCAAGCTTTCTGTACGCAAGTAGCTTGGACCATGACCCAATTAATTTACATAAGAAAGTACCAATTTGGCAATTACAAATGTCAACATTGTTTGATCACTATATAATTATCTAGATCATTTTCCTTCCTCTGTATGTGAAGGGGTAGACCTTACACTAATTATGCAAGGTGACTGTAGTTTTGTTTACTACCTTTCCCTGTGTGATAAAAGACACTGGCAAATAATTTGTCCTGGCTGTTTTTCATTTCCTGAAAAAATACATGTAATGCACATATTGTTTAAAATTCATTTCATTTTGTTGTTAATTTGCTATGTGGAAGTAATAGTGGCAATTAAATTAATTGCCACTATTACTTCCACATAGCAAATTAATGTGCATTTCATATAAATTAATAGCACATTATTATTTATTGGAATAGATGCTAGAATTGATTGGTAATTAGACTATGTCATCATGACATGCAAGCTATATGCATGATTTAGCATTCATCTTCTTCTGTAACTTCTTGTGCCTTTTCTCTTTACTATACTCAGTATTGTCACATTCTTGTAAATGGCTGAAAAGTATTATCATCATCACAAATTTTAGTTATTGAGAGTTACAATCATTAATTTTGTATAATGTCTAATAATTATGCAAGCAAACTGACCTTTATACAATAGTTATTTTCATGAATACACTAATTACATGGAATCTATGATAGATGGTCAATATAATATTAAATTTATATTATTATATGCCACCTAAATAATCTGCTTTTTTTTCAATACTATAGATATTGCCAATTCAATTGACACTAATAGAAGATTGAAAGGTAAAGTTAACTGTTAAGATATAATGTGTTAATGATAAATATCCAAATAAGCAGTGATTTTAATTTAAAATCAAAGGTATAATATTGTTTATTGCCTGATAAGAAGCAAACTATAGTATTTTTGTAATTACACACAACTGTTGTAATTTTATTTTTATTACTATTATATTAAACCACTAATAATGTTTAGCATTACAATGTCAAATTGGCCTAAATTTATCACTTGTTTATAGGCATTCCTAGTATTGGCACTAATGAAGGCAATAAGTTTTGTTTTTCTTTTCTTCAAAACAATGAGGAAAACACCATTAATATACTCAGTATATATATTGGTACACAAGAACATGAAAATGTTGAATATAGTATAAAGTCAAAAATCAGTGGTGTTGCTAGAAATGGCATTGTTAAGCCAGGACAGATAAAAAAAGAATTTTATCAGTATACCTCCTATAGTAACTTTGAAACTGATTTGAGCTTCAATCCACCAAGAGTAAAAGGTATGGTTCCATTCAATTCAGTGAGTAACACAGGCATTATTGTTGAAACTGTGGATAGTTCACATAAGATTTCAGTGATGGGTTTTAGTGATGGAGCTGAGACCTCAGATGGTTTTACTGCTGTTCCAATGGTCAACATGTCAAAAAATATTTCAATAGACTACCAGTATTCAGTATTCACTGCAGGAGGAAAAGAGTCATCTATTGCAGCAATTACTATGTGTGATGATTTTGACACAGAGAATGTTACCATTGATGCAACTCTCATTTCTCAAAGAAGCTTTTTACCATATAATGGATCCAGCCTACCTTTTCAGAGTCATTACACTTATGTTATCACCAGTTCTGATGATATTATTTCCAGTATCAATGTCGTAGCTACTCAACCAATTGGATTTATGACTGGTCATGAGTGTGGTCAAATTTCCATTGATCAAGTAGGCTGTGATCATCTCATAGAGCAAGTACCTCCTTCTTATACATGGGGTTATAATTTTTTAACTGCTCCATTTCATACAAATAATTTTGGATACATATTGAAGCTTTTGCCTGGAAAAGACTTTGGTACTAACTTCAAAATTTTTTGTACAGTAAATACTACTGTGACTGTTAATACTACTGTGGAAAATTTTGTGAGGACAGATCGTCTGGTTGCAAATAGAGGAATTTTTAACATTACTACTCAGAGCTATTGTACTATACAGTCAAACAAACCTCTTGCTGTAATGCAATACGCAAACTCAAACTCAGTGATAGATGTTGGTGACCCAGCCATGGTATGGATACCAGCTGTCAGTCAGTATCTCAACAAATATTTGATAACTAATGATGTCTCTATTCGCTCACAGTCCTTTACCAGTAATGGCATTTATGTGACAGTTTTACCTCATTGTTTTAATGCTAGTGCTATATTAGACGAGACACCTACGGTGCATGGCCTCGCTGCTATAGCCGGGTTAAAGAAAGTATGCTCCAAAAGGATAGTTCCCTGCATTTGCACTTGCTCTTGAATATCTGCAGAAGTATGTGGCAAGTTACTCTAGCTCATCATCAGCTGGTATCATCATCTGCAATGCCGGATGGCAGCAAGCAAGCTTGGCTAAGAAAGAAGCTAAAACTGTAGAATTTATGTATAATTATTGTTATTATTGTTATCAGTTGTATTTGTTATTATTGTTATCAGTTGTATATATCTGATTATTTAGTTATGCTAATTTTTCAAGTATTAGTACAGACAAGAGATAAATAATTGGGCGAAGCCCTTACTTACAAGAACTTGTTAGTTATGCTAATTTTTCAAGTATTAGTACAGACAAGAGATAAATAATTGTTGGGCGAAGCCTAGGCCTTGGCGGATTATGCCAGCATAATTTTGAGCATAATAGGCCCCAAAAGCATAAGCATAATGTGAGCATAATAGAGCTATAATAGAAAATTTTGAAAAAATGCATTGAGAAGTGCAATAAACAGGCACTTACACTCAATAAATTAACTGTTTTCATGTTTAAACAGATACTATTGCTCACAATACTTTCAAGAACTTCATAATTGAATTACTGGCTCACATTTTTGGGTGGGGCTAAGTTATTGGGGCGAGCATAAGCGAGCCCCACTCAGGCGAAGTCTCCCTCCCTCCGTATGTATGTATGTATGTACGTACGTCTCCAGTCACGCCTATTCTGGTCACACCCCATGTGTGCACAATATCTATTTAAAAATCAATGATCTAATGCGGTAGCATTCTAATGAAATATTTTCATTGATGTGGGTGTGGTTGCAATGAAATAAAAATGGCACCTACCTTAGCCAATCTTACTTGCAGCAACATAGGACTGATCTCTTGTCAAGACACTTCATCAGCAGAGAAAATTCAAGAAAACACACATAAATCTTCAAGTTTTTATTAATTATGGTTGAATGACAATATAAAAGCACATCAAATGGCTCATCAGAGAAAAGAGAGTCTAAAAGTACTGTGCTTGAAAATATCATAGTAAAAATTAAATTATACTTATTAAAGTTACAACTGAGATTCTTCACTGCTAATAAAGCTAGAAGAGCAAGCTATAAAATTTCCTTTCACGCATGCAAGTCACAAATTCTGAGCTGCTCTGCTTGTGTATCATTCAAGACAATTTGACAACAACATTAGCCTTTGTGACATCTAAACATTGTATATTGCCATGCTAGCTTGTGCTCGCCCCTTCAATGTTCTACATTCGCCTAGTTATAATGAAATTCATGGGCATAATTGGGAGCATAATTGGGGCGAGCATAAGCTCGCCCCACTCAGGCGAAGTCTCCCTCCCTCCGTATGTATGTATGTATGTACGTACGTCTCCAGTCACGCCTATTCTGGTCACGCCTATTCTGGTCACACCCCATGTGTGCACAATATCTATTTAAAAATCAATGATCTAATGCGGTAGCATTCTAATGAAATATTTTCATTGATGTGGGTGTGGTTGCAATGAAATTAAAATGGCACCTACCTTAGCCAATCTTACTTGCAGCAACATAGGACTGATCTCTTGTCAAGACACTTCATCAGCAGAGAAAATTCAAGAAAACACACATAAATCTTCAAGTTTTTATTAATTATGGTTGAATGACAGAATATAAAAGCACTTCAAATGGCTCATCAGAGAAAAGAGAGTCTAAAAGTACTGTGCTTGAAAATATCATAGTAAAAATTAAATTATACTTATTAAAGTTACAACTGAGATTCTTCACTGCTAATAAAGTTAGAAGAGCAAGCTATAAAATTTCCTTGCATGCAAGTCACAAGTTCTGAGCTGCTCTGCATGTGTATCATTCAATTTACAATTTGACAACAACATTAGCCTTTGTGACATCTAAACATTGTATATTGCCATGCTAGCTTGTGCTCGCCCCTTCAATGTTCTACATTCGCCTAGTAGAGCTGTTTCTGAGAATTGCAGCATAGCATAATAGAGCAATTTTAGAGCATAATCCGCCAAACCCTAGCGAAGCCCTTACTTACAAGAACTTGAACGTACGTCTGGGCGTGACTGGGAGGTGCGGTCTGGAGGCGGAGCCCCTCAATGTTTTACATTCTTTCTATGATCTAGTTCAGAAAGGTCTAACCCCCCTGGGGGAGTGTGAGACCCTTCCAAAAATTGACATTAAGCACACGTACACATGTATATACCATTGTACTACTTTGTACACACGTTATATACGGCCTTTTTTGTTCAAGCCATCGTGGGTCCATCAGCTGCATGGTGCCAATCCACACCTTTCCTGGGCTGGACTACCTAAGTGGGCGGGGCTCAGCTTGCATATGAGGTGTGCAGAGTAGGTTTTCTCTCTTTTTACTTTAGCAGCAGTTATCTCACTAATAATACCTGCAATTGACTCAAAAACGTCAGTGCATCAAG